TCTCAGCATCTGAATCGGAGCAGGAACAAGAGGCTGGGAAAATGGGAGAAAAGGGGAAAGCGGTGAGCTGCAGTCGAGAGACAAGAAAAAATGTCTGCAATGCTTAAATAAATAAAATGAAGAAATTGTAGAATCACGACCAAGAAGCAGCCGCAACTGAAGCAGCAACCAAACAATGCACAGGGCGAAAAGGTTCTCGAAAAATAGTATTACTGTGTAGGAAACAATGAAAAAAGTTAAAAAATTAACAAAAAATATTTTTATAAAAACTTGTATATTGATAAATATGTATTATAAAATAAGTATATAATAATTCAAAAGATAAAATTAGGAAACCGTTTCGATCAATACTTTTCTGTTTGTGTAGCCAGATCCAGTGGCTGTTGGTTTAGCTGCTTTTGGTATGATTTCCATGGCCGTGATTTCATTAGGAGGTTATGCAAACAAACCTCCCAACAATCGCCGCTGATGAGGATTTTCCCCGGATTTTCCTGTTTCGCTGTCCTGTCCCTTGCTGATGAATGAAAATTGTTGCTCATAATGTGCCGTTAGTGGTGGCTTGCTGACTAACGGCAACATTTGTAAGTGGTTCAGTGCTCAGTGGTTCGACCAGTGGCCAAAACAACTGCCCAACCTCTCCTGTTCCTGTCTACTCTGCTTTTTTATAGCCAAATTTTCACAGAGGCGACGGCGACAACAACTCGGTGTTGATCTTATCGCTGCGTTTAGCATTTAATACCAAATTTGTTTTATGCAAATGAACCACAGCATCAACACTACACCACTGCGAAACGAACACTTGGTGACAAACTGCAACAGCCAATGGCAACAGAAATCTTGTCTAAGAATTCCACAGATCTTACAGAGAAGAAGTACTTTGTTACAATTTCAAAACTTAAATCATGTAATACATAATTTGTATACCTGTTTAAATGTGATTGATAAAATTTACGTATTATTTTAATATCAATTGCTTATGTCCACTTATGTAAATATTACGGAAATTTGGTATAGAATGATTCAAGTGACTTATAGTTTTAATTTTCGGTCTTAAGATGTTTCCAAATATTTTTCTCTGTGCAGCATTAGATCTGAGATCCTTTGCTGTGCTGGTGGTGCATTTTTTAATTGATGCTTAACCTTGAGGGCGGAAAATCGAGGTGCAATCGGTTGGGGATTTTGTTTCCCCCATTTGCTGTGCCTCCAAGTTTCCAGATCCGCAGCTGGCGATAAGGAATCCGATTTGGATTCGGAGCTGGGTAAAGCCGAGGTGGTTGTGGTTGCCAAAAAAGTGCGATTTAATAAATCTTTTTATGAATTCAATTTATTTTTTACGATTTTTCAAATGCGGCGATTAGCTGGAGATTGCAAAAGGTGGATACGCGGGGTGGTGTTGCGTGTTTCATATTTAATCAATTTTGGGTGCTGCTGCAGTTGCAACTTACAAGCGCTGTTTTGTTGCAACTGTGGCGCAGTCACACGCTCGGTTTATCTGATTAGGCTTCAATTTCTCAATTTGCGAATTGATGTGGATCAAGGGGTGGTGCGGGGGCGGTTCCCGGTCGCGTAATTTGTTGTTAACATTGAACTTTTCATGTCGCCACGCAAATTCGAGAGTTGTTTCGATGAAATGGGTAATAAGGTATTTTCCAAAAAACTACAACGTCGATAATAAAATTAATAATATAACCCTTTTTAGAGAAATTTCCCGGACTTTTACATTATTAAATTATAGAATTTTAAACCCTACTCTATTTACCAGCAGGCCAACACTTTTGTGGTATTGATTGCATTATAATATTTATTGAATATGGATACCATTACTTCCCTTTTCCAGGGAGTTTCCACAACTGGTGTTGGTTTCTCCTCTAATGATCTGCAGTTGGCAATGTCCAGATAGATCGTGGCTTCGAGAGGCGGAAATCGGACAGGGTTGGGTGCTTCCTGGGCTCATGACTTTTCCGCGAATTTTCCCTGGTGACAACGACAACACCTCTCGCGCCCAAGAGTTTTTATCCCTCCTTCCCGAGGTCGTGATTCAAATGCCAGAACTGCGGTTGCTGCAGTCAAGGCCAGGAAACAAAGGGCCGCGCCAAGATCCAGTAGCTCACAATGGGTCTGCAGCGAAAAACGGAGGCCATAAATTAATCAAGCCCGGCTTGGGATGGCTTTTTTGTATTTCGTATTTTTTGACCATTCGCTTGTCGTCGTTTGCATTTCACAATTGTCAGGCAGGCATCCCAAACGATTTCGATCCCGATCCTGATCCTGACTCATTTCCCAGGCACTACTGGCGCACTTTTGCTTTTGCCCTGACTGAGATTCGTCCACTGACAGGCTTCGCTTTACTCCGCAGGTTCCCTCGCCCTCGCAGATTCTCCTCTCTTTGTTCGACTGCAATTGACAGGCTCCTTTGACATAGTCGGGCTTCTGAAGATTTGTCCGCCGCCCGGCCAAAGATAATTTATGTCCAGCCCCAGCTCTTTGCATACCCAATATCCCGATCCCATTCTGCTGCCCCTTAAGTCTTTGGTAATCGCTGGCGCACTTATTTTACTTTTACTTTTCCGCACATTTCATCTGAGGCTTCCTCAGTGGCTCGCTGCGACTGGATGACTTGGACTGGCCAGGAGATGGCTTCGAAGAGCTCCGGCTTCTGTTTCTGTTTCTACCCGACTCCGGCTACTGGTGCATGTCTTTTGTGGTGGGACGGAAGCCGCCGAGCCACAGTGTCCATCTAGTTATTGGGTTTAGTGGTAACCAAATAATGGACACCTACAACTACTGATCCGAAATCAAAGATCTTTATGTATATTTTACATTAAACCATAAATCCCATTTGATAAGCTGAAATAAGATTTAGAGCCATAACTTTGGTGGAAAAAAGGTCCGTTTCAAAAAAGCAGATTACTTGTTTAACGAACTTATTCAAAGATTTTAAAATGTATCTCCGGCCACTGTTCTTTTGAGCGGCGACTACTGTGACTGCCTTTGTGTTCTTCCTGCTGCTCCCCTTTCCCACTCAAAACTTCCTCTTCTTGTGGAACCCCCTTCGCAATCCCTGCCATCCGGAAAGATTGCTCCCTTTCGTTTTTGTTCTTTTGTGAAAAATAACTCCTTTGTCCTGTCAGTCAGCTTGCAAGCGAACTTGGCTCGCTTTCGGTTTCGGTTAGTCCCCTTTAAGTCTCCGCCCCTGGCTGTCCCCCCTTTAATCCTGCTTTGCATACATAAATTCATCTGTGTGCCAAGTGCAACGTTCCATTCCCGATTCCCAATCCAATGCCACAGCCAGTTGTTGCACGTTGCCGGTTGCAAGTTGCTAGTTGCTGCTGCATCTGTCGCTGTTAGGGTTAATGTCAATTGCCTTGCCAGTGCCATAAATTCGTGGCCAGGGAAGAGAAGCAAATGAAGCTGGAGGAAGCTAATGCCCCGGCCCTTGTGTGATTCTTGGACAAAATCGGATCCACCTTCCATTTAATTAGCCGCATCATCGTGGCAGAGATTGCTCCTCGGCTTTGGTTCGGTTAACTTTCTAAGCCCAAGCCGCCAAGTGTTGACCAAATAATCATTGCTGACAATCACGAAAATTCACCAGCAACTAGCAACTGGCGACAGCAATTGCAGCCCACAACAGCAACTTGCAACTAGCAGCAGCAACCTGAAACAGCAACAACATTTCAATATCGTGAGCTGAAAAAAACAATTTATACAAATCCAACTGGAAAAGTAACAAAATGCCAATTAATTGCCAAATAGAATGTTTATCTATAAAATCGCGACAACAACAACAACGGCTGCGTGAAGGAGTAACAACGAGAAAACAACAAAAACTGTTAACTATTAGTAAAAGTTAAGCATTTGTGACCGTAACACATTTTCCAATTGCATTTGTTGCTACGGTGCTGCTGCTGTTGATTATTTGAGGAGGAAAAACCAACTGTGCAATCTACACTCGGAAAAAAACAACAGAATGGCAATAGGATGTATGAGCTACAATATCGGTAGCTTGAAAACGCGTATTTCATGGTAGAAAATCGAATTTTTGTATTTAATTTCTTTCTTCTAATTTTTTAACATTTAAGAAAATCAAACCGTTCTATACTTTTTTATCCTAATTTAAATGAATTGTTTGCGCAGTGTCGAAAGAAAAACATTTCACTGGTTTTGGGCATAATGTTGTTGGTGTTTGCAATGGTCGCTTGTTGCAAGTTGCTAGTTGCTGGTTGCAAGTTGGGTCAGGCAGACGCCGGCAATGGTGACGATCTAAACGAGCAGCGTGCATCGGCAGGCGGCATCTTAGATGCTCTCACACAGATACTCGGGCACACACACATTCGCGGGTCAAGGCACACAAGTGCAAATTACAGGCTCTTATACATATGCAAAACACTATCCGGAGGAAAGTCGTGTCGTTGAATACACTATGAACCATTTAAACAACTTGAAAATACTTGAAAATGTTTTCTTTACAAGTGTTACCAAAGAAGGTATTTTTCGTTAGTAGAAAATATTACATATCTTTATTTTATAAACATTTAATAATCAATTTTATACATAAGGTTCCACCATTTTTAAATTCCAATTTTAGTTTAAACTCTTTTTTTTTGTGTGTATCGTATCTGCTGCTGCCATTGTTGTTCTTCTGTTTTGTGGCTTTGTGGCTCGAAGAAATGGCTTCGTCTTGTGGCCAACAGAAAGAGATGGCCAGACGCAGGGCGAAAGAGAGGGCTAGCTAGCGAGTGAGCGAGCGAGATAGCGTGGCGCGACTTAACTGCAACTTAAATTTTAAATGCCACTTTAATAGCATCATTTGCACGCGGCCAGCTTGTTAACCCATTCGGCAGATCTCGAATAGACGGACTTATCGAGGGGGTGATGCCACCACCAACTCGTGATCAGAACCCACTGGATAATGGATCGAAACATTCTCCAAGCAACTGTGGAAGCGGAAAACATGAGGGATAAATCACAACGGTATATTTGAATATTACTTAGGAGGCTTTATTTACATTCGTTCATTGATTAGGTAAGGTAATATTTGAATAATAAATCATTATTTGTAACTAAGCGACAGCAAATTGGCAAATGTAAAAACATCTAAAGTCACAGCGATGGGTGGATAGTTTATTTTGGTATGTAAAAACGCAGCGCTCCTGAGAGCCATTCTTTTTTGGCTCGCCCGCATTCCAAATCAGTGGAAATGGTGCATCCTGCCCGGTCAACAAGGATCTCCACTTGTGCACATCCACCAGATCGGAGAGGTCGATCCAATGAAAGCCGTATTGAAGCTTCTTGTAGATGAGGTGCAGTTCCGTCTCGTTTTGGGGCAATGCTAGGTGACCGCCCATCTCACGACATTTTTGCGCCGAATCGAACCAATCCTCCTTGATATATTTTTCGATGTAAAAGTACCTCGAGCCTATTTTCTCGAATTTTCGATTGATCATCCCAAGGTTCTTGATTTTCTTGTTCTCTAGAGTACAGTGAAGAGTTCTGGATGTTTCCTTCAGGGTTACTTCTAGTTGTTCTATCTTGTGCTGCCGTTCTATTTTTCTTTCAAGTTCCTTTAACTGCTTTTCCATAAAGGGTTTTATCGTCTTTATTTCGTTTTTTGTGTTCTTCAGGGCACTTTCAATTTTGTCAAGTACACTAGATATTGTATTGTTCTCTGTAATTTTCGAAAAGTACTTAAGCACTGGGGGTAAATCCGCAAGACACACTTGAGCTTGTTGTTTTTTGGTATCGTACCACGGAAATCTAGGGCAGTCGTTGTTCTGGGCTCCAAGCAAATGTATCACAATGAATAAGAACAGGAAATAAGGTGCAAGCTTGAACATATCGAATGTTTCACACTAACTGATTCTGGATTTATACTGGTGACTACTGCGAGTTCATTTTTGAAACGGGTTAACAAGCCGTAACAATCGCTATTTAAAGATCATTATGTATTTTACCTATTCATATGTATGTATGTAGAAATGTATGAATTCGACAAGGCAATTCTTTCCCCTAAGGTTACTTTTCTGGTGAAAAAAGAATGAAACATAGATGCTCCCGACCAATTCACCTACAATCGATCAAAATATCGTTGGAAGGGCGGTGGATAAACCGCTCATCGTACGGTATTGGAGCATGTGCTATCGTTCTGAGAACCGTCTGCCATTCCGCTCCCTCATCTTTTTTTCGAGTTTTTCCACTGAGCAGCTGCAGCAGCAACAAAAACATTAGAATTGCTAAAAGCTACTCAAAATCACCAACGGACAACAAGCAAAAATGTTAAAACGATCACGTTTTCCTGCAGCAACAACAACTACAGTGGGGAAATCCTTGCGCTGGAGAAAAGCAAGGAAAAATCTCAGCTGCCGTTGACATTCCAAGCCTCCCCCTTTAAGCCCCCAATTCAACCCTCCCTGCTTTTCTTTTCTTCTCTTTTTTTATTTTGCCAAGGAGCTTCGCGCATGCTAATTTCCTTAGCTGGGGAGGCCCAACGGTTTTTCCGACTTATAGACGGGGCCCTCGGTGGCTAACTGTAAAAGGCAACGCAAGGCAAGTGAGCGATGGAGCATGAAAGTCCAAGCAGAATGTGTGTGATTTGGATACCCTGTAGGAGAAGAAAGTGGGCTTATGAGGGTGATCTTTGACCATATAGGGTTTTCAAGAAATCTTAAATAAAATACTTATGCTTTCTACAGTATAACCATATATTTGATTATTGTTAATGGTTTTTAATTTATAGGATATTGACGATAGTTTAATCATGCCTTTATATTAATAAATAAATACTTACGTTTTTAAGACAACTATATAAAATTTGAAAAGATCTTAAGCAATTCATTTAGGGTTCACTTTCAAAAGTCCAGTTGGCTAATTCCAGGGTACACATGACATTGGATCATTAAAGACCTATCCATTCACATTTGTTTTTGCTATAGGTGATATTTTTACTCCCCCAAGCTCTCTCTTTTTTTAAGAGCCGAGACAATTGTCATTCGATTCGAATGATTTTCCGCCATGTGTTTTTTTTGTTTCGTTTCATTTGCTGCTATTTTTGTCTCTGTTTCTCTGAATGTCCCCAGATTTTGTGAGGAAGGAGGAAAGGGGATATCGCAGGGTTCCAAAATGCAAATGAATGCCGATAATTCAAACGATAAGTTTGTCTTTTGTCTTGTTTGCAGCTACCGTTTGTTGTTTTTCCCTGGGTTTTTCCTCGTTTTTTCTTCTTACTTCTGTTTGACTTGGCGTTGTTGTTGCAGCTACCGCCTAGAGCCAACAACCATTAAGAAACCGAAGGGAAGGATTGTGGGGCGGGCGGACAGAGCCAGGACCATGATCACGATTTTCAAGTTTCGACATTTGATTGAGTTTTTTGAACTAACGAATTTTTTTCTTTATTTTTTTCCTTTTTTCTTGGTTTGTGTGGTTTGTCTTATTCAAAGAGGTTCGATCGCGGTGTGTGTGTGTGTGTATCGTCGTGAGGCTGTGGGCGTCTTGTAGCTCGTATCCATATCTTGCATATTGCTCCTAAAGAGCGTTAATTTGACACACAAGTAACCCAGATTAGCGATCGACGACGACGCGAAACAAATGTCTCATTGCCAGGGATGCTCAAAATGTATGAAAATAATCTCATAGTTTTATTTTGTAAGGGTTTCACTAGGAAATTAATAGAGTTATTATGGTTTGTTCCGTTTTTATGCTAAAAAGAAACATAAATATTATTTGAATGTATATATGGTAATTCACGGCTCACTCATGCCTTAAACATTATATAAAAAGCTCACAAAATACGATTTAACCTTTTATAAAGATATAAATGTCTTAAATTAATACTAATTCTAGCACCTCTTTTTAAAAGTTCCCCATTTTATTTCACTGAAATCTATTTTACCAGTGTTAGTTTTTAAGAGCACTTTAACTTCCTGGGAACCAGAAAGGGAACCCAGTCTCCAAGACAAGCTGCCAACCCTGCTTAGAACGTGATTTGAACTCTCCTTGGGCCAAAAGCCGTAACGAAAGGAAACGAAACACAAATGTTAACTCCGCATGTTGATAAAAATATGACAAGTTGGCTGTCATTAGTCACACAATTAACATATACAAATACCGTCGACGGGAAGGGATAGGGACTGAGTGGGGTATCCTCCTCGTCCTCCTCCCTCGACCCGATCTCTTCCAGCGGCGGTCACGTAGAGGAGAGGAGACACGCTGACTTCAGCAAATTGTCAATTACTCATGCGATGAGCGAAAGGAGCATCGCCAAGGGCAGGGGTTTTCGGATGTGCCAGAGTTTCGGGGGCTTCAGGGGTCTTCGGGTGGGGAATCGCGGAGAAGGACCAGACCTGTCCAGCTGCCGAACCTGAATCCCAGGCTATATCTACCGCTGCTTCTGCTGCTGGACCGCCTGTCGTCGACGACTGCCTTTTAAAGCATCATTAGCAGCGATAATTAGCGCCGTGCAAACGACAGCCAAGAGATTACCTCGAAAAAGAGACCCACACACCGCAAGAAAAATTAATATTTGTTCTGAATCGGATTTTGTTAGTACAAAGTAATATTTAAGTGGTAGTACAGGAGTTGCAAGAGATGGTATCACACTTTTTAAAAATATTTCTGGAGTATACCAACCAAGCAAGGTTATAGTTCTTGATGTTCTATATGATACCATTCTTATATTTCTAAATCACTATTAACATAGACATTTATTTATGAAGTATTAATCGTTTTTACAACAGGGATTATTTTGTTTTTGTGTGTGATTTATGCGATCTACATTTAACCTATTTATTCTTTTAAAGCCTAAGTATATTTATTTTTTGTCACAGTTTGAAAAACTAATACAATTTTTTCTCCGTGCACGAATAAAGACAAACTAGCTTCTGCCATCCCCCGGCAACAATTTTTTGGCTAATAAATTCAAAATGTTAAGCCTTCTTTTTTGGCGATTTTCGTTTTGCGCCGCTTTGGCAAATTCGAAACTCGTGAGAGATTTTCGTAGTACCCGAAGCAACAGGTTGCTGAAAACGGGGTCGTAAGGGGTTAAGGGGGTGGGAAAACCCCTGCTTCTAGTTCCATTCAACTTCAGCCTCATGCGTAACTTTAGTGAATGGTCAGTTGGACTCAACTTGAGGCGAAAAGGGGAAAACCCCCAAGTTGCTGATGTGGCAGTCGCGCTGGCAATGTGTGGCTGCGGTGCAGTTGCTGCTGCAACTGAGTGACATGTTAATTAGTCGCTTACATGACAGCAGTTTGCTGCCAAGGCATTGCCAAAATGCTAATTTCCACATTGGGCAACCGCTGAGACGCGGAAAAGCGCGGAAAATGGAAAATGATGCCGGGTTCGTCGAGTTGGGCAATTTATAATTGAGCAATTTGCCAGCGACTGATTTATTTGTGGATCCCCAAACGGGATTAAAACGGTATGTGTCTCTCCCATGCAATCTGACTCGCTGGGAAAATGAGATCAAAAGGATTAGCCACAAGACGGATTTATTTGGTGTATGGATTTTTCGACACAAGCTCTAAAAGCGAAATAATACTTTATAAGGCAACCTCACGGAAAACAGCTATGCTTGCGGTTTATTAGCTCATTAAAAGGTGTGACGAATCTAAAAAGATCTTCTAAACTAAAAAATGCATTCACAATTAGTTTCTTGAAAGCATTCAATCTCTCACGTAATATAACTGAATATGTTCCAGTACTTGAGTTATATTTTAATCACATTTATGGTTTGCGGTCTCTGTGGAGTCCATGCAACTACGACGTGTCCTCCATTGCCCACGTACGATCCTTTACATGAAAAAGGAGAAGTCTGTCTTGTGGAACTGGGGCCAGTCCTCGAGCATATTGCGAACAAAAAAGAACAACTTTGGAGCTCTGGTGACGAAGGCAAGCTGAATGAAACCCGGAAACAACTGGTCAGGATTGAAGGTCTGGAGGTGGAAACCAAGGACCAATTGAAGGCGTTTCAGAAAAAGATAGAAACCGAATTGAAAGCTCTAGAGACGAAGATGCCAACGACTAAGATCGACTTTAAAGGCCTTGAGATTCAAGTGCAGGAAGCACAGAAAGCTCTCCACCTTTCGATGGAAGGGATGAAAGTGATTCGAAGAAATGAGATCCCGTACATGTTCAAGAAGTTTGGCTACAGTTATTATTACATAGAAAAGAAAGTCACTGCGGATTGGTTTACGGCGACAAGCAACTGCCATAAAATGGGCGGTCACCTGGCGACACTCGAGAACGACGCGGAACTGAATGCCATCCATAAGGAGGTCGACATTAGGGAACGCATCTGGTTGGGCATCACCGACTTGGCCAAATGGGGCGATTGGGTTTCCCTGGCCACAGGTAAAACTCCAATCTATCTTAAGTGGGCCCCGCGAAATCCTGAGGCGAAAATTGACCAGCGATGCATATACTTAGAAGGCGGAATGAAGGATGGAAGGTGCAACCAGACATATATTTACATATGCGAATATTGAATATTTATACCTTAACTCAATCGATTTTATTAAAACATTAGGTGAAGAAAATTTTAAAAAAATTGTTTGCTTCTGTAAATTTGTCGAATACACGTAATGAATTAATTATTAATATCAAATTATCGTATTAAAGTTTTGACAGTGCTCTCTGCAGACTGCAATTCCGAAACTTTTTCGTAAGTGAAAACCCCTCAGCCATTTCCAGCTCATCTACTCCAGCTGCGTCATTTTTATACTCCGCCCACGCAGTCGGAAAAACAGAACTGAGTAATCGAGAAATGCGGATACATCATCAGCATTTGCGACTCTTTTCGTCGGGACTCCTCTAATGTTAATGTTAATGTCTGTTGGCGGCACGGCAATTAAAAGGCACGCTCTGTTTGTTTAGGTTGTTGCTTTGCTCATTGTTGCTGCGGCAGATGAAACATTGAAATCAACGATGTCGACAACAAGCAGTCTTAGTTCCAGGTCCAAACCTATGGGCCTCATCTTCGGGTCTTCAGTCTTCCGTCTTGTGTCTTTAGTCGCCGTTCTTCGGTCTTCTCAGTACCTCTTGATCCGCGTCTAACAATCAACAAACGCGCACGATTGCGATTAACCTGGGCAACAGGGAAGAGGGAACCCGAAAGAAGGGGCGGAAGAATTCTGCGGAGACTGAGGACCGACAGAAAAGAGCAGGGCGACTATCTAATGTCGGGATCTGTGTACCGTAAGTGATGTTGATGTCGCCACCTACATCTTGAATAGAGACAAGAGGCAACGACAACCAGAACTGTGGTGATGCACTGGGAAGAACTGCATCGAGTGTTTTCCAAGCCTATTTAAAAATGATGAAACACCCTTTAGTCTATTTCTACTGTAAAACACATTAGTTTTTATTTTTAAGCCGACTGAACTCGAAATTTCTAAGACATCTAGATTTTTTTCCCCTATTAAATTACCCCTATTTAGAAGAGGAACCTCTTATTTTCAGTGAAGATTCTTCTAGGCTGGCTTAGTTCGACATCGGAAGTTGTTCACGGGCTTTTTCGATGATTTCTGTTGCACATAATAGTGCATAATTTCCCGGTGCTTCGATCCGAGGAATAGAAACAGTTCTCTGATTAGCCTGCCGGCTGACATGGAGGTTTCTCCCCGAATGCGTACTCCCTTTCTTTCTTAGCCTGGGCGGAGGGCGTTGATTGGCATGGCAAAGTAAATTGCATTGAATGCTAATTTCTATGGCAAAATCAAAGCGCCGTTAGTGGGACAAAGGGGGGCAGACAATGGCGCTCCATTAATAACTGACAGGACAGGACAGGAACTCAAAACTGCGGCTCAAACAACGCTCAAAGCTCAAAAGCCACCGACAGGCAACAGAAGACTGGAGAATGAAGACTGGAGACTGGAGACTGCAGCCCGGAGACAGTGGAGGAGTGGGCGCATTAGTTGGCTTTTGTTTTGGGGCAAACCCTTTTCGCCTGGCTAGAGGCTACAACAATAAATAATAAAATGTTGACACGACAACGTCATAACCTTTGAACGTGAAAATAACCACAAATGGAGGAGGCCAAGTCGGAATCTTTGCGTGGGCTGAATAAGTCATCTCCTCGAAGGCTCGCTCCTCTGCGACTGCATTCAATTAGCCTCCATCCCAGTTGCCCCGTTCAAAAGAAAAGGTTTCGACCTTCACGCCACATTTACCAGATTCGATCCAAGTTGAGTTATGTCCAACTTGTTGACATCGCCCGATAGGCATCTTTCCCACACAGTAGCGTCGCCCAAGGGGAGTCATTTGTAATACTTAAAATATTTGAAATTGTTAAAACAGGAAAAATGTGGGAGAAAAGCTAGGTTCTATAACTGATTTTTTTCGTACGTAAGAGGAAGTTTTCACTGCGAACTTTTGTCATCAAATTTTTTTCCAAAAGGCTTCAAAAATGAAAGTGTTTTGGTTTCAGTGTCAATCGATAGGGAATCTTTATACGAACTTGACGAGGTATGACATGCCATAGTTTGACAATTTGTTGCTTTGTTACGGACAAAATATAGATATTTTTGATAATAAACTGCTTTTACTCATTATAATTGTGTAAATATGGGTCCCCCAGCCCCTTTTAATTGGGTAATAAAGTTTGGGGACTACGCACCTGAGCTGCATAATTGGGAGCAGTAGTCGAAACAATGGTGGTTCAGATATCGCTGCAGGTGGCAGTTTGGAGCCTTCGACTGCTGTTTGCAACTCACAAGTTGGCAGTTGCCAATTGGCAATCGGGCACACTGGTCGCCAAAACCAAACGGCAATTTAGCAATTGAATTTAGCAAGTGAGCATGTCGCTAGCTCATTACAGGCAGCCAAAAATCGCGGCTGTTGGCTTATGTTTTTGGCCTAGCCTAATCGCAAACGAAATCGAAATGCGAATAACCAAAATGCACTTGATTGGTAAGGGAAGGGGAATGGGAACAGAGCTCAGTACACAGGGAGAAAATGGATATGATATGATAAGTTACAGATGCTAGAAGTGGTAAAGTCCTGCGACCGGAAAACATATGTTTTCATTGCCTTCGTTTTTATCTGGAATAAAAAATGCTCTAGTGTATGTAGCTATTGCATTAAATGTAAAAATAAGATATTGATGTAGGACTCGATCCTGGTACTTTAAAACCATTTTATTCCTATGCTTTCGATTTGGATGAAGTTTAAACTTAATAGTTAGTATTGTTTATTTTAGCAATAGATACTTGTTTTGCTAGTATAGTGTGGTTAGAAATCATTTTTTTTTTGAGTGCACTATATAGTATGCAACTGGATGCCGGAGGTTCTCTGTGCGATTTGTTTCTCGGCTCTGCGGCGGCCTCACATCAAATCAAATTAAAACGGCTGCCTGTCGATTCGACTGACTTTGATTTTCATTTCGATTTGCTGACAATTTTCAGCCGTCGAGCCGAGTTTTTGTGTGTCTTAATTGGTTGGCCCGATAAGATGTGTGTTCATGTTGATGTGGCTGCCATTTGGTTGTGGCTGGCTTGAGGTTTCACTTCTAGATGCAGATTGCAGACTGGCAATTAGCTGCGAGGTGCGGGTGAAGTTTTGGTCCTAATGAATGCAGCCAGCTCCGAGACACGCAAAAAGCCTCCGATCCCAGTTTCTCCACCATCGCACCCGTTCTATCTCTTTGCATAATTCTCTCATTAGTCAGCCTTTGCCGGGCCGTTGTTTTCGAAAGTCGAAGTTCAAGTTTTTGGGTTGCAGCAGCAGCAGCAGCAGCAGCGGCAGCAGCAACATGCAACAGGAGGTAGCTGCAACAGCACCAACGCAACACCCTCGTCGTGAGTGGACCTCGATCTGACCAAATACGGGCGAAATAAATCAACGGGCCGAGCACTAAACGATTCTGCCCCAGGGCAAATATGAAACATAAGCCAAATTAAGCAGCTCGCCACCGCCGCCGCTCACAAATCGATCAGAGCAAGCTTTTCATTTTGCCCCTTGGAGTTTTGAGTATTGGTTCCAGCTCCGATTCCTATGCAGATTTTTCCCCAGTTATTAGAACAATCTGCGATGTGTGTGGGCATGTGAAAATGTGTCAACGCTCCAAATAGCCACACAAAAAAAGACCAAAATTGAAACCAAAAGTGAGCCTGGAGCCAGATCTTAAACTGGAACTGGAACTCGCCTGCAGGCGACAAAATATTCGCCTTTTGTTATGTAAATTGTTTGTTTCTGTTACACCCAGTAGTTATCAAGGGTATACTGGTATACTGCACAAAAATATAGTTTAACTAACAATCGGCACAATAAAAGTTGAGGAAAGTTTAAAAAATTGCAATTTTCATTATCAAGTTAACATTATGCGTTTTCAAGTAACAAGCTTACAACGTTGAGGGGTAAATGTGAATATGAAAACAATCTATATTGACTTTTTTATCTGTGTAGCTAAGGGGCAGCTGGTAGTTGGAAAACACTATTTAACATACCCAGCTTATTATTCGCTTTTGCTTCAATATTTTCCATACTCCATGCGAATGCAAATTTTTGGCTGTCTCAAATATTTTGGCATTTGCGCATTAATTTCGCCTGCCCCTCGAGATTCTCCTCCCATTTTCGGTGGCCCAGTCTGAGGTTGGTCGTCCAACCGGTTGCCGGTCGCCTCATAATTCTGAATGCAGTTTGTCGTGGGGCCTGAGTTGTTGGTTATTGGTTATGCGGTTACTCGGTTGCTGTTTTACCTAATACGTGACTATCATGTCATAATAGCGAATTATTAGAATTTAATGCGGTCACAAAACGATGTGAACCCAGGCTGAGAGTTAAAGAGCTGATCGGCAGTCTGTTCCATATTTAACTGGGTCGACAGCCTACCGATTTTCCGCAACACAAATGCCATTTCGGAATATGCCTTGATGATTGCGTAAAGGTGCGAAGAATTCGATGTCTGCTTGGGGCCATTTTACGATCCCCTCTAATTTGGCGATTGTCGCTTTTTAAATTCCCATTGCCTTAACCCACCTTTGGCCACTGGGCGTTTCTTGGCTTTCGCCGCTGCCCCAACTATTGAATGGCATAGGAGCCTTTAGGTGATTAGCAAAGACGGCTTGAATAATTTCCCATGGCTGCCAGGAAGATCTCCACTTTGATCTCCATCAGCGAGTGGCTCTAATCATGGTGATCATTCGATTTGCGATTGAGCTCGCCACGTTGGGAGATTAGCTTTGGGGGCAGATCGATCGATTCGAAAATATCTTTTGGCCGTCCACTTATAAAGAGTGTTTTGGTCATTGCAGAAAGCTTGTGCATTTTATTTAATTTTAATAAGTAATACCAACGATAGTGAGGCAAGGCCATTCGTTGTAATTTGACTAGTTTCTGCTAATATGGTTGATCCTGGTCATACTAAAAAACCTTATATTTGGAAGTATAATAACAGTGATATTTTACTGTAAGGACTATACTTTTTTAAAGTTTTGTAGAGTATTTAAAGTTTTGTTTTTTCGTGTTTAGTTTTCCAGTTTTTGCTGTTTCATTTTGGCTGAAGCTGATGATTTTTTATGTCTTGA